GTTTGGCGGGTCCGGGCTGGGGATTCGAACCCGCCACCTTAGGTGTACGTGGCTGGCGCCTTAGCCGGTTGAGCCACAGGCGCCGAGCCAGCTGTTCTATTTTTAGTAGAGACAGGGTATCCCTCTCTTTTAGGCTGCTTTCCAACTCCTGAACTCAGACAATCCACCTGCCTTGGCTTCCCAGAGTGCTAGGATTACAGGCATGAGCGACCACACCCCTTTAAGGCATTTCTGCCTTCCACACATTATGAGAAGTTATATGATTAATAAGCTTAAATTTATATGCATATTATAGCTAATGAGATAAATGGGGCAGAGGCTGGCAGATGCAATCTAGACTACAAAGAGAGGAATGATTTTCCTGAAGTCTCTCTCTAGGGACAAAGAGAACTACTATGGGATAGCAAGAGAATTCATAAACTTAAGAAACAAGCTGCCATGGTGGTGCATGCTTGCAGTCTCACTTACTCAGGAGGCTGAGGTGGGAGGATCACTTGAGACCAGGCATTGACAGTAGCATGGGCAACAGAGCAAGACCCCGTTTCCTTAAAAAAAGAATTTTTTTTTAAAACAGGAAGTAGTATCTGGGAGACAAAATGATCATGATACTTCAAGGCCAGGTTGCAGTTGTCTCTGGGTGATTTACAGATGCTTTAAATTGCTTTATAATAACTTAGGGCCAAGACCATTAATCTATCTCCTACATTTCAACTAAAGGTGAATATTGCTAATCTATGATTTGCTCTTCCTTGGGCTTAGATGTGGCCTTAGAATCTACAACGCAGCAGTACAGAAATTCATCAATTTGCTGGGAATAGTGGCTCACACTAATAATCCTAGCACTCTGAGAGGGCAAGGTGGGTAGATTGCCTGAGTTCAGGAGTTCGACACTAGCCTGGGAAAGAGTGAGACCCTGTCTCTACTAAAAATAGAAAAACTAGCCAGGGGTTGGGACAAGTGCAAATTAGCGGGGCATCTTGGCAGATGCTCTGTAGTCTCAGCTACTTAGGAGGCTGAAGCATTCCTTAAACCCAAGGGTTTGAAGTAGCTGTGAACTATGACGCCATGGCACTCTATCCAGGGAAACATAGTGAGAATCTGTCTCAAAAAAAAAAAAAAATCATCAGTTGACTGCAGGTGGTCCTTAGAAAGAGGTAAAATCTATTTATGACCTTGATTATTATGACTTTTTTTTTTTTTTTTCTGAGACAGTCTCACTTTATTACCCCTGGTAGAGTACCATGGCATTGTAGCTCATAGCAACCTCACACTCTTGGGCTCAAGCAATCCTCTTGCCTCAGCCTCCCAAGTAGCTG